TTGCTACCACCGTTTTTCTCTGAGTGTAGACGAACCAGGCCAAATTCGATTCATCGCGATTATTTCGTAGAAAAAAAAATCGTTATTATTTTGTTGAATTTGTACATATAATGAGGCGTTGCCCGTTCTCTATCGGCCAAGGATACGTATTTAAGCATTCGACGGTTAAGAGGAAAAACGCGAGTCGTGCTCGGCTATCTATTGGTCGGGATGAAACGCATTACTTATGTTACGTGCGCGAATCATATGCATAATTATTACTAGTTAATTATAAGATACACGTAGATATATACGCATATATTTATACATAAGAGGATACACGAGACGCTTCGGATTACGTTCCGGAGACGCGGGTTTTTACGCCTTATCATCAAAAGAGAAAGACGTCCCCGACATTGGCGGGTCTGTTCATCATTTATTTTTTTTTTCTCGCACGAAAAGAAAGATGTATTAACTAAAGCTTTGAGACCCGATCCACAATAGCCTTCGCCTTTCATTTCAAGCTCTAAATTGTAACTTTTTTTTTTTATAAAAGCACGCTCTTAAGTCTTAATCTTTAAACTTTAAACGAGCTGGCGAGATAGCAGCTGGAAAATTTAGGAGCTTATTGTTAAAGCGAATTAATATCACAGCTCAGAACAAAAGGCTCATTGCATTTATTGCTAACCGGATCTAATTGAAAATAATTTTGTTAATCCGACATATCGTACTCTTGTTTTTATTGGAAATAAATATTTGTATCATTAATCTTTAGAGGACCGTTGTGAAGTTTCGAAGTTAGTGTTTATTACGTGTATATATTTTTTCTTAGAGCGAAGTTTTCGCAATTTAAGAGAAAAATTCCTACAGCCCTCTAATGATTTATTATATTGTTAAATCAACGTTCTGATGAAAAAATTCTCGTTATGTTCCACAACATTTTAAGAATTTTTTACATTTTAAATTTATGAAGAGTTCTAAAAAAAGCCTTAAGCTTCTTCAAAGTTTTGTTAAGTTTTCTTTAGCAATTATGAAATGAGAAATTTTAGGATATTTCAGAAATTCACATATATAAACAATTCTATAAAATATTTAGACTCGAGCATTCCGATTCGTATAAAAAAATCTGAAAGCTAAAGAACTTTTAAGAAGTTATAAACTTATATAGAAATTGTGAAAAATTCAAAAATTTATATAGAAATTCTGAAGAATTATGTGAAGCATTTTTACCAGGGAAAGATTATTTCCAATTAAATCTAATGCCATTAATACATCATTTTTTTCGTGAATAAATCTCATAGTACATAAAAAAATATCAAAAGAAATCTCTCGTTTTGATCCTCCCGTTATGTTTGCACACGTCGCATTGATTTTTGTAGAAGTAGCGTTATCAGTTATCAAGTTAAACGAGAATTGTTATTTATTATATAATAGACGTATCATTGTTCACTCATACACATGCAATACACTGGATAATTAGCGACAGCAGGACGACATTATATTGATAATTGCGAAGGGAAGAATCAATTGTATACACGCTCTAGTTAGATCATAGCTGAGATTGATTTTAAACTGAACTACGAAGTATTGATAATACGATAATGTGTACGTTTTCACAAGTAAAAAAAAGATATGATAGGCCGCTCGCAATCACTCGCAATACGAATAATAGCAATGTAAATGAATCGTGTAACGAGAAAGGGGAAGAAAAAAAAAGAAAAGAAAATGCAATCGGCGAGCGCGGACCTTCGGTGAGCACTGCTAAGATTTTTAACTTTTACAAGAAGAGACTCGAGTAGGAGTGCAATTGATATCTAGTACAATTTTCTGAGCCCGTGTGATCGGCGGGAGGTACATAATGTGTATGTTCAGTGATTATCTCACTTTTTTCGATATATATTATTATTATTGGAATAATAAAAAGTTAGTGCCAGATCGATGCAGTCGACTTCATTATTATGCATCCAGTTTTTGTGTATGAGATATTCCTTCTCCATTATATCCGAAAGGGCAAAGAAAAGACAGTTACTAATGTGATACGTGTTTCTGACTTTGCTGATTTATTATTATAAACGACAAAGTACAATAATATATTATAGTATTATTATATATTACTGCGCAGTTAGTTAGAGATAAAAATAAATTTTATATATATATATATAT